TAATTTATTAGCAAAAATTATATGTAATTGCTCATTCCACACTCGTTTTAGCTTGAAATCAGATGTGCTAAAAATTGCTAAACATGTTTAATTAACGAAGAAAGCGGAATAGCAGTGGTCCACGTGCTTTTTCCATTGCACGTGATCGCTGTCCACGTACCGAGCAAATAACCGTCATTATTCACGTCAAAGTGAAAACACCAGTCCTCATCAACCAATTAGACAGAAAAAATAATAATAAGAGAGAAACAGATAAAAACTGAATTAAGAAAACGGCAAATTTCACTCGCGAGACGTGAAAGCTACCACTGGGATGCGGAGGTCAAGGGGTCTCTCGATGAGAAAAAAACCCTAAATAAAAAATAAATATATGGTAAACACAACCGAATAAACTCATTAACTTTCGCAGAGGAGACAAGTTCAAACAAGGATTTTTCCACTCACTGAAATTATATACCATTATAGGTATAAATAATTCTAAAACTTCGAATGGTTGAATTGAATTAGAAATGAAATTCTTCAATTTCAGTGGAAATTTCTGTCACAACGTCATTTAAATATTCAATCACGTGGGTTTGAATTTAATTTCACTGGAAAAAAAATTACATTTTCAATTGATCTCAATTTTCAACAGGTTCACGTATTTTATAGACTTGCTAATTGACAATCACATGAATTTTCGACTAAATAAACCACTTCTTCAATGAAGAATTCTTTTCATTTCATGTCACTCGCTGTTAAAAACTCCAAGTACAATTCTTTTGCAGTACATGACTTGAGTCCTTGCATTACTTCTCCAACATAATCCCCACTAAAAAATCAATCAATCAATCCGACCAAAAATCCTGGAGAGCTCCGAAAACCCAAAAGCCTCCTCAAACCCAAGAAAACCCATGAATTTGCGTTGGAATTGTCGGAATTCGGTGGAGCGTCTCGAGTTTCACCACTGAGGGGGACCTGTTGCACGTCACTGAAAAAGAGAGGAAGACATTCCTGTCCCTCGAGCAGAGAAGAGAAGAGAACAAGGACGAGGGGTTGTGGAGGACGAAGAGAGATGACCTGAGAAGGACGACGAAGGTAACCAGAGGACGAGAATAAAGACAGAGAGATCCAGAAAAAAAAGCGAGGGAGTAAATGGTCCAGAGGACGCATACCAACTCCTCCAGGACTCCCTCTCTAACCTCAAATATCCTGATGATTAAAATCTTACCTGCGATAATTCCGTAATTTTTTAGTCACGTCCAAGTTGAGCACAAACACGTTTAAACACTGAGGTAAAACTAGTCACCAAGTTCATACACTTGATACATTCTCGCAAAAACACGCGTGCGGTGATGAGCGCGTCACTCAACTGCCGGTTATTTTTCACCACAAACTTTGATTTTTCTCGGTTATTGGGGGGGTTCAATGAGGGAGTGGGGGGTAAGGATTATTGATGGTAGACATTTGAAACACTTGGGTTTGATTGGACGCGTGGTTGTGACGGTTGGACCGCGAGGAATCTGACATACAACAGCTACAAACGATGTTACAGGGTTTGACCTGCCTGCTGAACTGGCCAATCGCTGCTCAGGTGGATTTCGAGGGGAATCGCTACGCTGGTGGGGGAGGGGAGGAATGGCAGGATTTTCAGGGGGGGGGCCACCTGCTGCGCGACCTGCTGGTACTGGGGTAAAACGCTGCGCAGGGCGTACTGCAAGGCCACACAATATTGGGTTTAACAAAATCAGCAATTTCATGGTTTAGGGCACCTATTATCCGATTATTCAAGGAAATCACGGATTTTTTTGTAATGATCAGGGCTATGCTGACCTCTCGACTAGTACCGCTATGCTGCGCAGGGGGAACTGATTTTTATCGATCTCCGATATCTTTGGGTCTGGTATCGACGGGGATAAGTCGGACCATCGGTAAGGAAGCTTGTTGGGTTATGGGTGGGTGGCATGATTGGAAATTTAGAGGAGGAATATTTCTTAATTAATTGCGGGGATTTATATTGAAAAAATCACCTGGGGATTATAACTTGAATGTTTTTTTTTCGTTTGGATTACATTTTATATTGTAATGTGTTTTCTGTGGTGCAACACATTAATACGTTTTTCATGTGAATATACAGAAGAATAAATTATTATTGTTCACAAAATGATATCTACACGCGAAATATATATTAATTACACGCACCTATATGTCGGGCAAAAGTGCAATATATCAGATATACGCTGATGATATGTTATCTCATATATATTGCGTATATATTTGGCATATATTTGATATATATAATTATAATTGATATAATTATTAGTAAATATATTTATTCGGTGAGGGAATCACGGTAGGCGTAAAAAACGAATGTCCCCTCAAGGCTGTATTCAGTGGCATCGGTACTTATTGTATTAAGACTCGTTAACCAGCTTGTTCATTCACTCTTATCTATCCTCAGCTCATCCCAATGGACCACCGGGTAATCACTGCCCGTTGGGGACCGAAACGGATAGCATTAGAGGTACAACAACTTGTCACTGTTACCAGTGCTGGGGTGTTAAATAAGGTCACACACGAGAAATTATTAAAAATGTGTCGAAAGTACAGGCACACTTATGCTCAGAAGTACTACTGGCTTATTTTGTCATAACAATGGCTGCTCTTGTGAGACTCAAAAGGAGTAGTGTACAGCTAAGAGCAGCTGCGGCTGAAGTTAGAGGTAAGAGAATTACCAATAAACAAATAGGGAATTGATGTTTTATCGTATCTACTAGAAATATTTTATAGTAAAGAGACGGTAGATGATTTTTATATTTCAATCGATCAGGGAAAGATTCAGTGAAATGAGCGGTTGAAAATTTTTGTCTTTTCGTTGATTTATTCGGGATAAACAATGAATTCTTTATTTGTTCGAATTATCTTTTTAAATGTAAACGAGAGTATTCGAGGAGATATTTGAGGAGATTATGTTATACGAAAGCATATTTCGTTCGAAAAAAATTATTACGCACTCTACGA